CCCCAGCCCTTCTTCCTTATATAACTCTGTCCTGGCCACCAAGAGTGGAACATCTAACCATTCCACCTGAAACTTAAGTAAGGCTTTCACACCAGAAATTGCCACACTTAACTCTCCATTGTATAAAGACCCACCCCTGGAGCTATTTGCAACAAAGCCCTGTTCAAACTCACCTAGGTTGTGAAGTCAGGCACTTAACAGACAAGCTGATTGTAAAGCCAGGTGAGCAGTTTTCTAGCAAAGCTGCAAACCAGAAGGGCTATCACATCCAATCCCAAGCTAGTTTACCTCCTCTCAGGTGTGAAGATGCAGTGAACGACAACATTTAGTTCAGAGGTCCATACCATATCAGGCACATGCTTGATTTGACTACAGCTGTTTGAAATGGCTGGAAAAAATGTACTACTCTTTGTAGGAGAGGCTTAGGCTATACCTCCATAGTTTAAATGTACTTGCAAATAAGCTAAGAGCAACTATTATTGCTTAACAGAGGGATGGATACCAAGCAGCAAAGCATGTATGCTCCAGATTGCTACCACACAGCTGCGTGGAGCTAGCCTGAAGACGCTCCAGCTGTCATCATCTGTCTAAAAAACTCCTCCAACATATTAAGACAGTGTATTAAAAGCACACAGCCAAGGAGTCTCTTTCAGAGCCTGACTATACCAAGGAGATTTACCAAGGCGTACCGGCCTGGGTTCATACTGGTAGTACACTAGCCTGCCTCAGTACACATCTGTACTAGAACAGAATAGCTCTACTGGGAGACATTTGTAACTACATCATCCCCACAGCTGCTGTGCCTACTCAAAGAAGTCTGCACGAATACAGACACCAAGATACCAAATCACAACAGTATCAGATTCGTACCTCATCTAATGCTATTGAGGTAAATTATGTCATATCAGGCATGAATTTAAGCCATGGTCAAGTACATGCTGTCTTTGGCCCATTCTAAGCGCAGGAATCAGTGGGACCTTTGGTGGAGCCTCTTCCCTTCCTAGGGGACCTTAAAAGTAGTAAGAGCATTTCCTTTCCCAACCAAAATGGGTGAAGCGTGCATCTGGAATGCAGAGCCCCCCCCACCCAAGCAAATGCAGAAAACAAACCATAAGAAGTTTCAAGAAGAGTTTCACCAACATACACCTAGCAATGCCATTATATTAAAAGAGAAGTTACCACCACTTCCCCCTTACCTCTGTAACATAGCCCGTAGAATTCACAAATTTCTCAAACTCTGCATTGCTGACTTCATACTGATCCATGTAGAACAGGTTAATGTGAACTCTTCTAGCAGGCCACTCCCCATCCTGCCGTATCTCAGGTTCATCAGTCCCC